AAAACTCAAAAACCATAAGTGATAAAAATGTTTATTAAGTAGATATTAAAGAACACAATGAGAGTTACAATGTCTGAAAAATTTGACTCGATACCTTTCATGTTTACCCAGATATTGCCAATTGAAGATTTTGAATTGAAAATCCGAAGGGGATAGACCATGAAAAATCAAAATTTTCAATTTTTTAAATTTTTTCAAATTTTTACATTTTTTATCGGAAAAGCAGGTTAAAATTAGTTGAAAACAAATTTCATATTATTTTGAGAACAGTAGTTTTATGAGAAAAAAAATCCCATAGAAAATCTCAATTTTGATCTCAGAGAGTTTCCTATAATTTGACATGCCCTCAAACATTTGCTCATAGTTTCAGTAATTTTCAACTAATCAGCTTGTATTATAGGTTTTCTGAAAGAGGATTAAATTCTCTATAATTCCTATAAAAATTATATTAGTTGCATTCATAAATTCTGAGGAATTGAGCTTCAAAGTGGAAATTTGGCTAAAATTTTGTGAAAAACTTCTAGATCAAAAAATTCAAAAACCATGAGTGATACAAATATTTACAAAATAAGATATTAAAGTACTCAATGAGAGTCACAATCTCTGAAAAATTTGACTCGACACCCTTCATGTTTACCCAAATATTGCCAATTGAAGATTTTAAATTGAAAATCCAAAGGGGGTAGGCCATGAAAAACTAAAATTTTCAATATTTTAAGTTTTTTCAAATTTTAATGTTTTTTATCGGAAAAGAAGGTTAAAATAAGTTGAAAACAAATTTCACATTTTTTGAAAAGAGTAGGTAATTTTATGAGAAAAAAAATCCAATAGAAAATCTTAATTTTGATCTCAGAAATTTTCCTATAGTTTGACATGCCTTCAAACATTTGCTCATAATTTTGGTAATTTTCAACGAATCAACTTGTATTATAGGTTTTCTAAAAGAGGATTAAATTCTCTATAAAACCTCTCAAAATGATAGTGGTTGTTTTTGAAAGTTTTGAGAAATTTCACTTCAAAGTGAAAATTTGGCTAAATTTTGTCAAAAACTTCTAGATTAAAAAATTCAAAAACCATGAGTGATACAAATTAATATTTACAAAATAAGATATTAAAGTACTCAATGAAAGTTACAATCTCTGGAAAATTTGATTCGACACCTTTCATGTTTACCCAGATATTGCCAATTGAAGATTTTGAATTGAAAATCCGAAGGGGGTAGGCCATGAAAAATCAAAATTTTCAATTTTTCAGGTTTTTGCAAATTTTAACATTTTTTATCGGAAAAGAAGGTTAAAATTAGTTGAAAACAAATTTCACATTATTTTGAAAAGAGTAGGTAATTTTATGAGAAAAAAAATCCAATAGAAAATCTTAATTTTGATCTCAGAAATTTTCCTATAGTTTGACATGCCTTCTAACATTTGCTCATAGTTTTGGTAATTTTCAACTAATCAACTTGTATTATAGGTTTTCTAAAAAAGGATTAAATTCTCTATAAAACCTTTTAAAATTATATTGTAGACCAGGAGTTAGACGGACTTGAGTATGCATAATATGAGGACCGCATTTTATCAATGGATTGTAGCTGAGAAAAGCTTAAAGATTAAGAATCCGGATCTTGCCGGCTCATTTTTTGGTCCATTTTTTTTCTATCCCCTCTCCTCTCACTTATAAAGGAATTCCATGGAGTGTATGTTATGTGTGTGATTTTAACGACTATTATAGTTCTAATTCAGTTTGCTCTTGTGGTGAAAAAGACGACAGGGTTTTAAATAGAAAGTTGTAAGTATGTTAAAATTTGCTGTTGCTAGTGGGATTTGAACTCACGACCCTCTGGGTTTCCGTCCATTGCTCAAGAGGTATATGTATGGTGACATAGCTACAGCGGTGCATTTAATATTATTTTTATTATTATTATTATTATTTTAAAGCTTGTGACAAATCGTTAAAAATGCGACTTTTCCAGAAATTATATAAAAAACAGGGTGTTTCATTTGAAAAACAGTTAATCCATGGCGTAACTCTTTAGTTTTTAGTTCAAATGATTTTTTGGTATCATTTTTGAATTCTCCAGAAAAAAAAATGCCAATTGGCTATTTTGAATTTTTTCAAAACTACAGGAACAGGAAAAGTCAAAAATAAGCCCCTGTTCAGTTTTCGTTGGATGACCCTGTACATGTCGAAGTCTTCTCTAACTTCTGTATATTTTGGAGCAGAATTGCAAAGATATCCAACAAGTGGTAGAATTATTTTGAGTGCTTGAAAAGAAAGCCTTAAGTACAATCAATAGGAATTATTGTGAAATTACTTTTTTTTGTGATATTTTCCATATAACTTTGCATTGGGAAATGGCAGGAGAGTTGGGGACCACTCCAGCTGCCGGCAAGATGTCCTTATATTTTGCATACTCAACTACTTGTAGCGCCTGCTCTATTGGTTGTTTTTGAAAGTTTTAAGAAATTTAACTTCAAAGTGAAAATTTGGCTAAAATTTTGTCAAAAACTTCTAGATCAAAAAATTCAAAAACGATGAGTGATACAAATTAATATTTACAAAACAAGATATTAAAGCACTCAATGAGAGTTACAATCTCTAAAAAATTTGACTCGATACCTTTCATGGTTACCCAGATATTGCCAATTGAAGATTTTGAATTGAAAATCCAAAGGGTAGGCCATGAAAAATAAAATTTTTCAATTTTTCAGGTTTTTTCAAATTTTAACATTTTTTATCGGAAAAGAAGGTTAAAATTAGTTGAAAACAAATTTCACATTTTTTGAAAAGAGTAGGTAATTTTATGAGAAAAAAAATCCAATAGAAAATCTCAATTTTGATCTCAGAAAGTTTCCTAGAGTTTGACATGCCTTCAAACATTTGCTCATAATTTTGGTAATTTTCAACGAATCAACTTTTATTATAGGTTTTCTGAAAGAGGATTAAATTCTCTATAAAACCTCTCAAAATGATATTGGTTGTTTTCGAAAGTTTTGAGAAATTTAACTTAAAAGTGAAAATTTGGCTAAAATTTTGTCAAAAACTTCTAGATCAAAAAATTCAAAAACCATGAGTGATACAAATTAATATTTACACAATAAGATATTAAAGTACTCAATGAGAGTTACAATCTCTAAAAAATTTGACTCGATACCTTTCATGTTTACCCAAATATTGCCAATTGAAGATTTTGAATTGAAAATCCAAAGGGGGTAGGTAGGCCATGAAAAATCAAAATTTTCAATTTTTTAAGTTTTTTCAAATTTTAACATTTTTTATCGGAGAAGAAGGTTGAAATTAGTTGAAAACAAATTTCACATTATTTTGAAAAGAGTGGTTTTATGAGAAAAAAAATCCCAGAGAAAATCTCAATTTTGATCTCAGAAAGTTTCCTATAGTTTGACATGCCTTCAAACATTTGCTCATAGTTTTAGTAATTTTCAACGAATGAGCTTGTATTATAGGTCTTCTGAAAGAGGATTAAATTCTCTATAAAACCTACAAAAACTATATTAGTTGCGTTCATAGATTCTGAGGAATTGAGCTTCAAAGTAGAAATTTGGCTAAAATTTTGTGAAAAACTTCTAGATCAAAAAACTCAAAAACCATAAGTGATAAAAATATTTACCAAATAGATATTAAAGTACTCAATGGTATGTACAATCTCTATAAAATTTGACTCGATATATCTCATGGTTATCCAGATATTGCCAATTGAAGATTTTTAATTAAAAATCCACCTACCTACTACCTACCCCATGAAAAATCAAAATTTTCAATTTTTAATTTTTTCCAAATTTTCACATTTTCCATCGAAAGAGAAGGTTGAAATTAGTTGAAAACAAATTTAACATTATTTTGAAAAGAGTAGTTTTATGAGAAAAAAAAATCCAATAAAAAATTTCAATTTTGATCTCCGAAAGTTTCCTATAGTTTGACATGCCCTCAAACATTTTCTCATAGTTTCAGTAATTTTCAACGAATCAGCTTGTATTATAGGTATTCTGAAAGAGGATTAAATTCTCTATAAAACGTCTTAAAATGACATTAGTTGTTCTCAAAAGTTTTGAGAAACTTGGCTCCAAAGTGAAAATTTGGCTAAAATTTTGTGAAAAATTTCTAGAACAAAAAAATCAAAAACCATGAGTGTTAAAAATATTTACTAAATAAGGTATTAAAGTACTCAATGAGAGCTACAATCTCTGAAAAACTTGACTCGATACCTTTCATGTTTACCCAGATATTGCCAATTGAAGATTTTGCATTGAAAATCCGAAGGGGGTAGGTAGGCCATGAAAAATCAAAATTTTCAATTTTTCAGGTTTTTTTCAAATTTTAACATTTTTTATCGGAAAAGAAGGTTAAAATTAGTTGAAAACAAATTTCACATTATTTTGAAAAGAGTGGTTTTATGAGAAAAAAAATCCCATAGAAAATTTCAATTTTGATCTCAGAAAGTTTCCTATAGTTTGACATGCCTTCAAACATTTGCTCATAGTTTTGGTAATTTTCAACGAATCAACTTGTATTATAGGTTTTCTGAAAGAGGATTAAATTCTCTATAAAATCTACAAAAATGATATTAGTTGCATCCATAGATTCTGACGAATTGAGCTTTAAAGTGGAAATTTGGCTAAAATTTTGTCAAAAACTTCTAGATCAAAAAACTCAATGACCATGAGTGATACAAATATTTACAAAACAAGATATTAAAGTACTCAATGATAGATACAATCTATGAAAAATTTGACTCGATATCTCTCATGGTTACCCAGATATTACCAAATGAAGATTTTAAATTAAAAATCCAAAGGGGGTGAAAAAAAAAAAATCAAAATTTTCAATTTTTATTTTTTTTCAAAATTAAACATTTTCTATCGATAGATAAGGTTAAAATTAGTTGAAAACAAATCTCACATTATTTCGGAAAGAATAGTTTTATGAGAAAAAAAATCGAAAAAAAAATGATCTCATAGAAATTATCCTATAGATTGACATGCCCTCAAAGATTTGTTCATAGTTTTAGTAATTTTTAACGAATCAATTTGTATTATAGGTTTTCTGAAAGAGGATTAAATTCTCTATAAAACCTCCAAAAATGATATTAGTTGTTTCTATAGGTTTTGAGAAATTATAGGAAATTTTGTCAAAAACTTTCAAATCAAAAAAACATCGCTTGCCCAATTCGTACCTTTTAAGTAAAATAAAATAACAAAATCTTCATAAAAATGATTTTATATTCAAAAAATAAAGCAACTCATTTAACAAAATTATCAGCAATTTTATTCATTTATACATATTTTCTGCTTGTTTATTATATATGCACAGTATAAATTCTATACACAATTCTAATACAATATTTTATACAGCGCGATACAATTTTCATAATAATTGACGTAAAAAATAACAATAATTAACTATTTGGCATTAAACGTCCCTGTTATAACACACCTACCATTAATATACAATAATTATTGCTAAAAAATATTAATTTGATGTTTCGCCTGAAAAAATAAATAAACATATTTACAATATTACAACAAAGCTTTTTTTGTAACAATATTTTTCATACTTTATACATTATTTACATTGTTTTTGTTATAACAAAACAGCATAATAATTTACTTTTTCTTAGGTAAATTCTTCGTCATTGTAACAGCAATCTGTAATATGAAGGAATTTTTAAAGGGTAATGAAAAACATTTGTGTAGGAAGTTGATGTTTACTGAAGAACTTCCCAAAAGAAAACTTTAGTTATATAGGGAGTAGCAGTAGGAAGCGGGTAATTCTTTAAAATGAAGAATCTAGCATTTACGTAAACTTCAATAAAGGATGTTGCATACATTGAAAAAGAAGAGAAATGAAGAAAACTTCCGACATAAAAGTACATAGGTACAAACCTAATAACAAGGCAATTTTGGCATCTCTATAATAAGGAGGAAAAGTTATAGGAGAAACTTTTCCGAAGATATAACCTAAACAAGCTTAAGAACCAATAATTAAAATACATTGAAGAATTGCATAAGATAACTTCAAAATGCAATTATTTGACTAGATTTCAGTAAAATGATGATTTGCGAACCAAATTGTTTATTGTCATTCAAATTAGATAATCATAGTTCATAAACACTAAATATTATCGACAAAATCCGTCTTCGTTTTCGCTGGCGCACACCATGTGCGGATCGGCGAGGAAAAGTTTGCCGCTCTCGCACGCGCACAACTGAAAAACGTCGAAGCTGCGCGCCGCCACTGGTCGGTTCGTTATTTTGGCGGTAGGCAGTTGCGGCACGATCACCGACGACGACTGAAGACGGATGGCGCCGACTTCGCTGCGAAACGAAACGTCGTTTTGGGCTTGGGCGGTGATTTGACCGCCTCGCGATTCCAGTCTCAGTTCTTTCGGGGCTTTGATTTCTAGGTTACGAGTCGGGGATTCCAACCTGAAAAGGAATAATTTGATTATTAAAACAACTCAAGCGTAGAAGAAAAATATGGATTTTCCAGGAAAGTGTTTTGTTGTTTGTCGAAATTCCGGAGATTCTAGCAATAATAATTATGCTTAAGGAAGGAGATTTTAAAATAACGACACGAAAATCACGACTCTTTGGAATGTAGCCGACGCGTTCTTCAAACCAAAGGGCATTCGCAAGAATTCATAATACCTGTTTTCTGTGCTGAATGCGGTTTTTTCGATGTCGTTTTCATGCATCTGGATCTGGTGAAAGCCGCTAGCTAAATCTAAGGTGGTGAAATACTGGCAGTGTCCCAGCTTGTTCAAGGAACCGTTGGGTAATGGGTATCTGTCATGGATATCAGGAACTCAATATTTTTTTTATCTACTCAGTACATCCACTACATACAATACCAAAATTTACTACGGGGGCTTAAGCCCCCATTGCCATCATGGTTCCGGCGCCTATGGGTATATACACAGATTTACTATCCTCTCAAGGGGGTATAGACCAAAAATCGAAATTTGTATATAAAAAATTCTAAGACAACAAGCTGCACCATTTTATGCCTAACGGTTTTCGAGATATTTGCAAAACAACTGTCGAAGCGTGACGTCACAACCGCTCGGTTACTTCGTAGACTGAGGGCCGGTATTTCAATGTCACTTTAAGTTACAAAGTAACGTTAAGTCTTCCTTAATGCAAGTTTCACCGTATATCAAATTCCCCTAACTAAAAATGGACCTTAAGGGCCGGTATATCAATGTCACCCCAAGGTACAAAATAACGTTAAGTCATCCTCAATACAAGTTTTACCCTTAATTCAAGGTGGATCTAAAGCCACCTGAATGAACTGAACTGATCATCTTAACGTTAAGGGTACCTTAGGTAAGTCTTGATTTTAAGCTAACATTGAAATATGTAACATTTGAAATGTCACAACAATATAATTTTTGTTCCCAATTATTTTCATATATTTTGGCCTCATTTAAAAGTACTATTTCGTACACCTAGCGACATCTATGATTCTTCTGACTAGTTTTCCTAACCTAATACCGAAAATTCTGTTATTAAGGTTATTTCCGAGAAACCTATAGCGCTGTCATTTTTATAATGTCGACAGGCTTGACAGACCAAGAAAGTAAGGACAGAACCATTTTGGGTACTTTTGACTTGTGCTTTTTCTCTTATGTCTTGGGACCGAAAAGGCCGTCCAGCCAAATTTTTAAAATCTTAAAAATCTTAAAATTTTGTCTTTATTTTTGGCCATCGAGCCCATAGTTTTATAAATTAACTAGGCAGAAGAGTGATTAATCGTGTCAGCTAGAACGTTTCTTGAAAAATCAACAGATTGTTGATTTTTGTGAAGATTTTGGAAAGTGAGGTTACTATCGGCCGAACAGGTATGTAAATTCCTTTTTCTCTATGATGAATGAGTCCTTATATTCCCTAAATTCATTCAGGCATCTTGAGCAGGACGAAAAATTCGCGCCTGCAATTCTCCAAGTGAAAATTGACGAATTTGAGACCACGCTGTCCTGGAAACTCAGAGCAAATCTGGGCCCCCTTTTCAAGGAATGTTGATGTTCTGTAAGAAGTTGATCCCCAACCATTATTTGGTTGCCTCCAGCCAGTTTGGTACTTCTAGATCTCAAATTTGTGAAAACTTCCAAGAATTCCGTCCAGGCTTGTATAATTATTTACCTATGGGTCTCTTATTAATTACCGTAACTTACCTTTTCTTTATCGCTATGACTCGATATAACATTGAAATTGGCACCAGCCTTCAGACTCTAATAAAATCCTGCAACTCTCACTTAAATACGGGTTGACTCAAATAGGTGAAATATGGCTTTTAGTTTTGAACCAAAGTTGAAGTTCACAAAAGCAGAATCTGTTGGGCTCCAAGCAGTTGTCGTTTTGACGTTACGTCTATGTTTTGTTGAAAACTCCAAAGACTGATATGGTATCTTTTTATAGAAATCCGGTAAAGGTGAAGTTTTCGATGTTGTTCTTGAGTCTAAGTTTTTCAAAAGTACTATCTTCCGCTACAACCCAACTAAACATTTCATCCTTCTTGGTAAGGGACGTCAAACGTCGAGCAATTTGCGCAAAATTTTTGACGTATTTCTGAAAATAACTATATAAACCTACAAACTGACGTACTTGATAAACGTTCTTGGGTACAGGGAACTTCTTCACAGCAACAAGTTTGGAATAACCAGGACGAATCCCAGCAGCACTAATCTCGTGTCCTAAGTAGTCAATCTGGTTTTGGAAGAAATTAGCTTTAGATAAACGCAAAGTAATGCCCGCATTTCGGAATGTTTGAAAAACCTTTCCCAGAGCTAATAATTCAGATGCCACGGCACCAAAATATCCTCCATGTACGCTAACGCCGTAGAGAACCCCATAGAGCCCAATACATGGTTGATTGTTCTTTGGAAAACAGCAGGTGCGTTTACCAACCCAAATGGCATCCTGAGGTATCTACTCGTGCTGGTTATCTGGAGTCACAAAAGGGGTTTTCTCTTTGGATTCCCTATCCATTGGTATCTTTTTTCACATAACATAAACCAAAAACTTATTTTTGGTTTACACCCCTTAAGCTTTTTATGATATGAACAGTTTACTACTTTTGTCTCTAGTCAAGCGACACAAAGCGGAAATTCTGCCGAGCTAAGCTGGCCGTGACCAGAACGATACAAACTCAGCAGTTGGTTTGGAACTTGTGTTTCTTTTTTTGATTCTAAATTAATGTTTCAACGTTTTCCTTACCAAATTGCGTTGACAGACCTTATTAACGAGTTGAGTTTTGGAATATTGTAAATGTGTAATGAGCAAATGTTTTGTAAATTTGTTCTGGAATAACATTGCACGTTGAAATATAGCAGGTGCATTTTTCAAGCCAAAAGGCATACGTGTACGTGTATTTGCATTATGTGTATTGCACTGACAGGACGCCTTTGATGGCTCCTGTTTAGTTTCGGTTAGTTTGTGGGTTAGATAATTTTTGTTGGAAAACGTTAGTTTTTTTTATGCAAATAATCCGAATATGGACAATTACGACATAAATGCGTATAGCAGCGATGAAGAAGCGCGAATACCAAGATTAATTAGGCCTAGAATTGATTATTTGGAGGAGTATGATGAATATGATTTTGTCAGCCGATTTGGACAGTTATTGAAACAGTACTACCGCATCTCATTGCTCATCCAACACACAAGTAAAAATTGAATATCCCCTAATATTCAGAATGTTCTATTATCATCCTACTTGTTTGTATTAGAAAAGAGTGTCTTTCACCCAGTCAACAACTTAATTTTTGTGCCAATGGGTAATTTTTACGTATTGCAGGAGACCATCAGGGAGTAAGCAAAGCAACTGATTCACGAACTGTTAAAATTATATTCAATTGAAAGAGCGCGTCAAAAGTTTTTCAATTTTGCTCATTTTCCAAGGTGTATAGGGGCCATAGACTGCACCCACGCTAAAATTCAGTTCCCAGGAGGTGAAAATGCGGAAGTGTTTAGAAACAGACAACGGGTTTCCTCATTTAACGTTCAATCAATCGCAGACGCAGATCTGAAATGTAGGGACATCGTTACCAGATGGCAAGGTTCAGCCCATGATGCTCACATATTCCGAAATTCAGTTCTGTATGCTAATTTAGAAAGAGGTCAGTTTGATCATCATAAGAAACAGTGGGTAACCAGTGGAACCTTACTTGCTAACACCCCTACGAGTTGTAAGAAGCTGTACAATGTCTTTAATAATGACGAGAAACGTAGTTGTAATGAAATATGGAGTTTGCAAAAGAAGATTTCCTGCATTGGCCATAGGAATAAGGCTACGAAATTTGAACACAAATTGTAGCAACTGCCATATTACATAATATAGCTTGTGATGAGAATGATAGGTTGCCTCCTATATGGACTGTAAACTAAAAGCAGCAATAGAGTTTGTTGATAACATGAATGTCCCAAATGTAGCTGAAGATTTTGTTATGAATACTAATAGAACAAGATTCTACTCAATCAACAACTATTTTGTTAATTTAGGATTTATCCATTTTGTGACTTGGACAGAAGGGTATGTTAACTTACAGGTGGTGGTTATCTAACCTCCTATGATTGTGAAACTGGGCCTTAATGTTTAGAAAAGCATTATTTAAGAAATCAAGAGCCGATTATTATGAAAATTTGAACTTTTCCTGACTCTTGATTGCAAGATAATAATGAAAATAGCAATCCTATTGAAGCACCTTGTTTCATTTGGTATTTAAACATTAAACATTAATAATTAATAAATTCTAACCACTAGCAGCTTTTTGGTTGAAATTTCCTCATAATTACGTCCTTTCCAACCTGAATTTAAATACAAAAAAGGCAACGCAATTAAAACTTTTAAGCTTGAGGCATATAAAACACAAAAATCGTAGTAATTGCAGTCCCACAAATTTAAGAACCTTTGTCATTAATTCCATACCGTAAATCGTGTCCACTTTCCGCCCGCACCAATCGCGTTTGCACGCCTCCGCTGAACCTGCTACCCCCTTCGCCGGTCACTTGTAGAGTGTCCGCACCAACAACAACCTGATTCCTGTCTGCTGAAAATAGCGGGTACCCTCGATCATCTAGGATTTCGAAATTGTTTGCCAGGCACTCGAAATTATCCAGACCTATAAGTGACAATTGATAATTTATTTTCGCTGTAGTCAAAGTATAGACATACCTAAATGTATCCAACTATTAGGATGTCCATGTTTGTCCCTGGATTTCAAGGTAATATTCCTACTAGATTCTATTACTATTGATTCGCCGCTTCTGCTTCTGATTTGGCTGGCTATTAGGTTTTCTAAGACGAAAGCGTTTCCTTTTAGTTTTAGGCCACCCGGTACGATTTCTAATTGACCCATTCCGTCCTGAAAATACAAAAATCGTCATTTATTTATTATCAAAATCCTTAAATTGATCCAAGTTTCGTATAACTTGTTATAACGATATATAGGGTGGTCTACCTAACATATTTATAACTTTGATTTATGCTTCATGTTTCGTGTTTATAAATAGTATTGAGAGAAATATTTATGTTTATTGGAAGAACTTTTCCGATTAAATTCTCAACAAAAAATATAGGAGAATAAGTAACTTTTGAGTCACCGAAACCCAAACAATAAACACACAAGTTGGGGAAACTTTCAGATTAAGGGAGATGATGGTTTGGGGTAAATCATGCTAAACTTGCTAGAAATCTTTTTCTGCAATGATCCAGTAATCCAAGTAAACTCTATTACAAAGTACTTGCAAGCAACTTGTTTTCAGTTGAATTTTATTTTAAAATATATCAATACTAATGTAAAATAATATCCAATTAGCTTGTAATTCCAGTTCCAGTTGCAGCATTATATGCCATTCCGAAGCAAAACAACTCAACGCGCCGATTTCTAAATGCCTCAAGGGTTACGGCGCAAACAAAATTCAAGTTCTAGGAAAAATTACTGTAAAACTTGAAGTTGATGATGTCCAAAGGATTATGGAATGTTTGGTTGTTTCCAAGAAATTCCCATATTGATTGGTCAATCATTTACCGAATAGCTTGGATTAATAGTACCGAAGGACAGTAATAGTTTGAAATTCACCGAGTCTCAACTTAAGACTCTCAATAAAATAGCGCTATGGCTACCAGAACCAACTTTAATTTCTTCTAACCATGTTGAGAATGTGACTGTGTCACTAGTAAAACGCCATTTTAAGGAAAGGACCCTGCCCAAAGTATACGGAGATTGTGTTTAGGTCAGAATTGGTTATTGTTCGAGTACAAATAAGTGGATTGTTGCGGAACTTATGGGTGGACCTCTGCGGGACGAGCGCAGCGAGTTCCGCAGCCATCTAATCACCAATGTACTGTTAAACTGTTCAAGTAAGACATACACCTGAAATTTTTCAAACTAATGAGAATAACGCACATTTGAGTGAGTTTAGCATCGTAATTAAACAACATATTGATGAATAGATGGCTGCGGAACTCGCTGCGCTCGTCCCGCAGAGGTCCACCTATAAGTTCCGCAACAATTCACTCATTTGTACTTGAATAACTTGTCATATTATGTTACTAGTTTGGTGAAGTAACATTACTTATTCCTGTTAAAAGTTATTGTTCAAGTACAAATAAGTGGATTGTTGCGGAACTTATGGGTGGACCTCTGCGGGACAAGCGCAGCGAGTTTCGCAGCCATCTAATCACCAATATACTGTTAAACTGTTCAAGTAAGACATACACCTGAAAATTTTTAAACTAATGAGAATAACGCACATTTGAGTGAGTTTAGCATCGTAATTAAACAAAATATTGATGAATAGATGGCTGCGGAACTCGCTGCGCTCGTCCCGCAGAGGTCCACCCATAAGTTCCGCAACAATCCACTTATTTGTACTTGAACAATAACTTGTGCTGCAAGTAAAACGCTAATTCCTGTTAAAAGGCAAATGGACAAAAAGTGGATAATCTTAGAAATTCTGACTTTATATAATAAGTTATTGTTCAAGTACAAATAAGTGGATTATTGCGGAAATTATGGGTGGACCTCTGCGGGACGAGCGTAGCGAGTTCCGCAGCCATCTACTCACCAATATACTGTTGAACTGTTCAAATAAGAACTCATCTGACACGTCTATTTTTTTAACTCATGAGAAAAATTCACAACTGACTGAATCAGGTTGTACTTGAACAACATATTGATGAATAGATGGTTGGGTCCACCCATAAGTTCCACAACAATACACTCATTTGTACTTGAATAACTTGTCACTATATATTACTAGTTTGGTAAAGTAACATTACAAATCCCTGTTAAAAGTTATTGTTCAAGTACAAATAAGTGGATTGTTGCGGAACTTATGGGTGGACCTCTGCGGGACGAGCGCAGCGAGTTCCGCAGCCATCTAATCACCAATATACTGTTCAAGTAAGACATACACCTGAAACGTGTAATTTTTAAACTAATGAGAATAACGCACATTTGAGGGAGTCAGTTTAGCATCGTAATTAAACAACATATTGATGAATAGATGGCTGCGGAACTTGCTGCGCTCGTCCCGCAGAGGTCCACCCATAAGTTCCGCAACAATTCACTCATTTGTACTTGAATAACTTGTCACATTATGTTACTCGTTTGGTAAAGTAACATTACTAATTCCTGTTGAAAGGCAAATTGACAAAAAGTGGATAATCTTACAAATTCTGATTTTATATAATAAGTTATTGTTCAAGTACATACAATGTAACACAAATAGGTAAGCTTGTGGCGCAGTGGTGTGCTACGTATAGTATAATTTTTCAGGATTGGTGCAAATGGTGACTTTTAATCAGAAAGGCGTGATCTACATACAAAATTCAGCCAATTCTGACATAAACACAATTTCCGTATACTTTAGGCAGGGTCCTTTATACATTGAAGCCAGTTTCAGATGTAAACCAGGAGAGGAGTATGCAATTCCTAGAATACTTATCCATTTATCCGAAAAAGGAACAGCCGTTATCCCAATAATCAATTTGTCTGGAAGAGATCTCAGATTGAGTGATAAATATCCACTAGTAAGAGCCATTGCTTGTGAACTAGACAGAAATAATTCATCTGAACAAGTTTTTCGTGTGGATCTGGACAATCTACCATTGATTAACGAGGAGGATATAAACATTGGAACTACTGACCCATCTCCAAGGAAAAAATTAGCGTCCCTTCTTCAGGAATATAGAGACCTTTTCGGAACTGCAACTGAAAAACTTGGTGAAGCGGCTTCAGCTCAAATGGAAATCAAACTTCTGGAAGATAAACCCAGACCTTATAGAATGGCCGAAACAGAAAAAAAAAGTAAGATTCACTGTATCCGAACTCCTAGGAGCTGGAATAATACGCGACTCAAGTTCTTCATACGCTTCCCCAGTGCTTTTGGTAAAGTAGAAAGATGGAAAGGATCGAATGTGTATTGACTACCGAAAACTTAATCTCAAAACTATAAAAGATCGATTTCCCTTGCCAAGAATTGATGACCAAATTAACAAATTGAAGGGATGTTCCATATTTTCCAGTTTGGATATCAGTTCGGGATATCACCAAATACCGAAAGTTGAAGGAAGTAAACACTTAACATCATTTGTAACATCAGAGGGACAATATGAGTATAACAGAATGCCATTTGGACTTTGCAATGCTCCAGCAGTTTTCCAACGCATGATGAATAAGATATTAGCTCCATATCGCGATATTGCTGCGGTCAACCTAGATGATGTTATATTGCCGAGCAAAAATTCGGAAGACAAACTAGAAAGTCTCCATTGGTTGTTTTGAGAAATGAGAACCTTACTTTGAATATAAAGAAATGTGTCTTTCTCTCCTCCTCAATTAATTATTCAGGCTTTGAGATAGACAAAGAATGCGTACGACCTGGTTCTGCCAAAATTGAAGTCACGCGACAGTTTCCAACACCAAGTTCGTAAGTTTTTGGGATTAACCGGCTATTTCCGAAACTTTGTGAAAAACTATTCTACACTTGCCAGACCCTTAACAACACGAATCTCGTCTTAGCCCAGTTAGCGAATTTTACACTAAATTGAACCATTCATTTTTGATTCAGAATCCCAAAAGCTCCAAATAAGTAAAATCTATACATAAACACAAAAGAAGTCCAAAAACCGTACAAAACAAAGACGGGTATCATTTGGAAAGAGCTCTGCTATGCAACTCCGGCTAGAAAGTTCTCGGCTAATTATGGCCGAAGGGCTCAAAATAAAGACGTTTTTCGTTCGGGGTGAATAACAAAGAGTGCGGCAAAAAAAAAAAAGATCCACAATCCAGCGACTTTTTCTAATCATTCGCAATTAAAACCGTGTTAAATGGGAACTGTGTGGTTAAAGGTCTCTAGTCTCTTTTGTCACAAAAAATGACAAAGGCGCGTTGAACGGAATTTGTTTTTAATTAGGAACGCCTCGGGAACTAAAAGGGAAACGTATTATTCTTTTTTTTTTTGATTATTTTGAAACAGCTTAGGGTTTAAACTTACCGAGGAAAAGTCCATTACTTTCAGCACCCATAACGTTAAAGCTAAATTGACTATCACCATAAACAGTAAGACTAAAATGAGGGCGTAGAGACACTTTTTCCGCCATCCGTAAATGCCCACCCTGAACCCTTGGTGGCATCGTGTTGGTTCGTTCAAGGTGGCTTCGTGACTATTTTGTATTGTCGTTGAATCTGGATCATTCTTTTTCATTCTGGAACAAAAAAGACACATTATTTTTCATAGAAAAACTATATAGAGTTAGGTTATAATTATATATTATGATGCCAAACGTATTTCAGACACAAAATAGTTGGCTATGAAATGATTTTCTATCGAAATATCCCAAAATAAGATAAAATGACACATTTTGTATATAAAATCACCTTTGCCAGCCATAAGAGCAAAGAAACTACAAACTTTCAGGGTTCTTTGTGAATGGAACTCAAACCTTTTTCTTACCTGAATGCAATAAAATCATGTAAAATTTCTATTAAACTTCTCGACTTTACGGAGTCGTAGGTCGATCGAGTGTACCTACGTCACTGGTGTCACCATGTTCCTGACAACCCCCTTAATCTTCCCCATTAGTATGAATCTAATCCCATGTACAGTTTCTGAATAATTGTCATCTGATTATATAATTTTGTATATTTTTGTATAAATATGCGTTCGTAGGTCGATCGAGTGTACGCCACTTTCGAAAATGGAACATTCTAGAATGAAATTATCAGAGGAATCGAATTGTGCGTACCTGTAAACGAAGTCTAATTAACAGCACAATGACAGCAGGAGAATATGGAAAACATAGGCAAGTTCTGTGTTGTAGGTACATGGAGAGATATTTAAAAACTGTTCCAACACCTCAAAAACCTAAATTTTATTTTAAACCATACAGGGTGTCCCACGGTGGATGGCGTATTAGACGTTTATAGAGAACTAAAAAGCGGATCATTTTGAAAATTTGGCAACCGGGATAAACGACCATAATCTACACTTTAAAAATATTTTTGTTTATGCAGTGTTGCTGCTTCTACTCTAAACCAGTGGCAACATCGCTATTTTAAATGGAACACCCTGTATGTGATTGCATATTTGGATTCTACGTAAAATTCTGAGCAGATTTCATGTGATATACCCTATACCTAAGTTCAACTGTTTTGGAAATATTGACAGTTGAAAATTGACTTTTTGCAACTTTGACAGGCTGTGAAACCTGAACGGTTAATTTTAAAGAAAAAACGATTTTACATTCCTATCTTAGATTTTTGTAAACTATCATTTGACACCAACTTTGAATTTAACCAGTGATTAAATTTAATTGGAATTTTCAATCATGGCTAAGATACGAATGTAAAATCGGTTTTTCTCTAAAATTAACCGTTCAGGTTTTACAGCCTGTCAAAGTTGCAAAAAGTCAATTTTCAACTGTCAATATATCCAAAACAGTTGAACTTAAGTATAGGGTATATCACATGATATCTGCTCAGAATTTTACATAGAATCCAAATATGCAATCACATACAGGGTGTTCCATTTAAAATAGCGATGTTGCCACTGGTTTAGAGTAGAAGCGGCAACACCGCATAAACAAAAATATTTTTAAAGTGTAGATCATGGTCGTTTATCCCGGTTGCCAAATTTTCAAAATGATCCGCTTTTCAGTTCTCCCTAAACGTTTAATACGCCATCCACCGTGGGACATCCTGTATATGTAATTTTCACATTTTTTACTGGTTTTAAGGTTCGAAAATGTCACTTTACTTTTGTTTACTTTGCAGCAGGCCGAAAGTGACAGTTCTCCTGTCACTTTCGGTGAAAGTGACAGTTCTCCTGTCACTTTCGGTCCGGAGAACTCACTTAAGGGTGGATTTTCATGCATCCGTTTGTCCGACGAAATATGTCCGAAAAACATTCTATTCTGACATAATCGTATAAAAATATGTCAAAATAGAAGATTTTTCGGACATATTTCGTCGGACAAACGGATGCATGAAAATCCACCCTTAGGCCCTGTTAAATTGTCCTTTCACACCTAAACACAAATCCAGGCAGTGTTGCCAACTGCGAATCAACTATTATAGTATAGAACACTATAAAATTATAGTATATTTGTACAAATTATAGTATACTGCTGAAGACAGATGACCACCAATTGTCCTGGTGGGACACACAGAGATCGAACTATTATGAAATTTTCTGGACAAAACGAGAGTTTTGTCAGGGGCGTATCATACTAAAATTTCAAATTTTTCCAGTGGAAAATAACTCCATTGGAAATTAATGAAAATCAACTAAATTAGACATAAATGCACCATTTAACATTTTATTTATTTTTCTGGAAAACTATTCAAGGGAAAATTATGACATTTTCTGGAAAAAAAGAAAAAAGTCAGGGACGTATCATAGTAAAGTTTCAATTTTTTTCAGTGATAAATAATCCCATTGGAAATTATTGAAAATCAACTAAATTAGGCATAAATGCACCATCCAACATTTAATTTTTCTTCTGAAAAACTATTCAGGGGAAAATTATGACATTCTCAAAAAAAAGAAGAAAGTCAGGGGCGTATCATAGTAAAATTTCAAATTTTTCTACTGGAAAATAACTTCAATGGAAATTAATGAATATCAACTAAATTAGGCATAAATGCACCATCTAACATTTTATTTTTTTTCTGGAAAACTATTGTAGGGAAAATTATGACATTTTCTGAAAAAAATAAGAAAATTAGGGACGTATCATAGTAAAGTTTCAAATTTTTTTCAGTGGAAAATAACTCCAATGGAGTTATTTTCCACCATCCAACATTTTATTTTTCTTCTGTAAAACTATTCAGGGAAAAATTATGACATTTTCTTGAAAAAAAGAAAAAAGTCAGGGACGTATCATAGTAAAATTTCAAATTTTTCCATGAAAAATAACCCCAATAGAAATTAATGAAAATCAATTGAATTAGAAATAAATGGACCATCTAACATTTTATTTTATATTTTTTGGAAAACTATTCAAGGGAAAATTATGACATTTTCTGGAAAAAAAAGAAGAAAAGTCAGGGGCGTATCATACTAAAATTTTAAATTTTTCCAGTGAAAAATAACCCCATTGGAAATAATGAAAATCAATTAAATTAGACATAAATGCACCATTTAAGATTGTATTTTTTTTCTGGAAAACTATCCAAAGGAAAATTATGACATTTTCTGGACAAAATGAGAAAAGTCAGGGGCGTATCACACTAAAATTTAGAATTTTTCCAGTGAAAAATAACCCCATTGGAAATTAATGAAAATCAATTAAATTAGACATAAATGTACCATCTAACATTTTATTTTTTTCCTGGAAAACTGTCCAGGAGAAAATTATGACATTTACTAGAAAAACAGAGGAAAATTAGGGGCGTATTATAGTAAAATTTCAAGTTTTTCCAGTGGAAAATAACCTCATTGGAAATTAATGAATATCAATTAAATTAGGCATAAATGCACCATCCAACATTTTATTTTTTTTTCTGGAAAACTATTCAGGGGAAAATTATGACATTTTCTGGAGAAAAGTCAGGGGCGCATCACACTAAAATTTCAAATTTTTTCCGTGAAAAACATTAAAAATAATTTTTAAAAATTAAATAGGAGTGCATTCGATAACATCTTTTTTGATATAAAAAAAGGATCCGCTCAGGAAAGCCAATGAAATTGACAATTGACAGTGTAAACCCAGTCACCTTAAAAACACTAAACTAACACTTTTGACAGTTGACATTTAAAATGTCAACTGTCAAAAAATACATGCTCTATCAATACTAAAACGATAGAGCCTCTTCAGCTAAAAAAAAAAGAAGAAAAAAGGTGACTAGACATAAGGGCTTGCACGCAAGAAGAAAAAAGGTGACTAGACATAAGGGCTTGCACGCCAACAAAATAGGTTTAGGAAAATTGAGATTATTTTCCAGTAAAAAACTAAATAATTTGATAATGCATAATTATAGTATTTTAGGCGTACTAAAATGACCTTTGATAGTACATAGTACATAACCATTCAATTATAGCTGGTAACACTGAATCCAGGTGCAATGTTTGTATTTAGAAGTAGATGTCACATGTGTTTATATGTTGTTGAAATTTCCTGTATGTCGTAGTCAGACTGCGAGTCAAAATTCCATTTTTGTCATATTCTTACCTTATTTTATTTAATAAATAATGGTTTAAAATAAAATAGTATACATAATTCGGTGGAAAGTTTTCATATTATTGTCTCGAGAATTGGTTGACCTCGGCGCTTCGCACCTCGGTCAACCATATTATCTCTCGACAATAATGAAACACTTTCCATCTCCGCATGTAATATACTATTAAAACCTTCAATCAAGTCGATAAATAGATTTCGATAGTCAATTTCATCTCTGAAATCCCAAGTAAAATCGATTCTAATTGAAATTGTAAGTTTGGTTGCCGATCCTTTTTATATGGTACTAGAATGATGTCCATTTCACACTTGTAAGTAATGTAAAACATTCTATCTACAGCTGTTTGAAATCGAATAGGTTTTTTGACAGTGGCGTATGGAAACAAATCTCACAATATTTCAGAAAGATTTTTATGGGATAAAAATTAATTTTGGCCATAGAAATTGTTCAATGCTCCTGAGATGCCATCATATATTATTTGCTTGCGGTTTCTGGATTCCCTATATAAAAGCACATAAAACAAATCCGGTAGACTTTGAGTCATTAGGCTTCAAAGCGAGCATCAAAGTTAAAATTCGGACGAAATTTTAGTTCAAAACTTCAAACGCAAATATCTCGGAAACTATAAGTTGCATTCGATCTCTGTGATAAAATTTCACAATGTGTTTTATATTTATAGATAATATTGTCCCTAGATGACAACTTCAACAGTCAACAGAAAAGGAAATTTCATTCCCTGTATGATAGTTAGTAGGTAATCAAATTCGAATTCGAAATAGTTCCAGCGGAAACGCTACCGATTTTCCAGTCAAATTCTTCAGTGAAAATTATCAAGCAATATTCTCCACTGGTCCCAGTCTTAATCTAATAATAAGTGTTGCACATTAAACTCGGGCTAACCCAAACCGAACTGGCAACATAATCTAATAATAATCCAAATGAGGGGAGAAGATCTTCGAGACTACACCTATAGATCGATTCAACACGTGGTCACGACCTGGGAGATTTGTGTACACATCCCTCGGAG